CCCTACACGTAATCAATCCTTGTGCCCAAGGCTGGCGGTAAAAGGCCTTTTTGGTAATTTTTATGAAAATCTTTCCTTTTTCTGATGTTTTGAGTAAAATATTGGTGGCGAATCCTTCAAACATTTTTCAAACCATTGATTAGGGATTAGTCTGGTTTCAAGGCGTTCCCTAACCGATAAGATTTTCAAAACGAAAGTCCAAATCATTTGTGGGTAAGATTGGAAATTTTTCAGAGTTTTGAAAAATGGCAACTCCATTGGGAAAGCTTAAAGAGGGTCAGTGATGGAGACCTCCCTTCTATGGTTGATAATGGTGTGTTGAAGAGGGTCACCTTGCCCATGATCTAGGCTCACCAAAGGGGACAAGAGATATGGGATGTTTAGAGTGAAGGGAAATTTAGGCGTGAAGAGGTGAAGGTGGGGCAAAGTGTATGGTTGCTCAAGGTGGGTTGGCTCACTCCAAAATGAAGATGGAGGCCATTCTAGGGTTTCACTCTCCAAGGGTGGAGAATGAAGTAGGCTAGCCGAATTAACCTAGTGACTAAGGATGGGATTTTGAGGCATAAAATGCTCACTCAATATCATATAATCCAAAGTATTTACATGATGCATAACCTAGGGTATTTATAGGAGTGGGAGGCATATAGGGTTTCATTTGGAGAGTGCATGACCGAAATTCACAAGCCAAATGCACACCAAATGAAATGCAAATTAACCCTAGATGCAACTTGGTGGCCAAGGATGGAATCTTTGGGATTAGATAGGCTACATCTAGGTGCATGATAAGACCATGCAACCTTTGCCCTCCACTTGGGCCTAAGCCTTTCTAACACCAAAAATAGGTCCAAGAGCCACAAAAAATATGTCTAGGTTTTGTTCCCACCCTAATCAAATACCTTAGCCCAAAAATAAAAACCTATGATCTAAAGCACCCCATAATACAAGGGTAAAATAGGAAATACAAAGAAAATAAACCCTATGACTAAAATACCCCAAAATACAAGGGTAAAATTGGAAATACAAGTAAAATAGATCCTATGTCTAAGATACCCCAAAATACAAGGGTAAAAATAGAAAATCAAAGACAAGGGCAAAATAGGCATAAACATAAATTCTAGGCTACCAAAGCTTAGGAGAGTGATTAGTGTATTTTAATCTTGAAAAACATGTCTTCTAGGATTTTCGACTTCCCTATCCTCTTCCAATCTCTTAGCCATGGATTAGTGATAGGTCCCACATGAAGTTCCATGGATGGTCCTCCATCATCCCCTCCTTCTTGAGAAGGATTTGACCACAAATCTTCAAGCTCAATCATTCCATTGGTACCTTCAAGAGATGTGAGACCACAATTAGGGAAAGAAACTACTTAAAACTTAGCTATGCAATCCTTAGGTACACAATTTGTTGAATGAAAGTGCTAGGGGAAGGAGAAAGCCAAAGAGGCATCACTATTTTTGAAAAAGTTATTGCCCCCATGCAATTTATTCACTAAATCATCTATCTTAGGGATTGAGTGTCTTTTATTCAATGACGGCTTTCTAAATTGATGCACATCCTCTATTGCCATCTTTCTTTGGCACC